CCCCAAAACCCCAAAACCCCAAAACCCCAAAACCCCAATGCCATCAATATTAACTGAATATAATTAATTTCAAAAAGATGACCCAGTTTGAAAACTCCCAAATGAGCAAGATAAGTAGTTTCAACCTCACAGACTCAGACAGTAATATTGTCTGAGCCAAGGTTGGCTTCTCTTCCAATGTATTCTGTGCTGCAGACGACCAGAAGAGAATAATGCTGTGGAAGATACACAAGAAAACTCCGAAAATGACCTTGACCGGTTCTCCCTCTGATATTCAATGCGTCAGCTTCAGTAGTGACAACAAGCAGGTATTTGCAGGAACAGATGGAGGAACGATATATGGATGGGACCTTTCTTCGACAAAGTATTCAGTAAAATTACAAGGGCACAAAACAACCTGAAACTTCGTTGAAGTAAGCCAAGAAATCGGCGATGAGCACCTCCTACTCACAGGTTCAGGTGATTGCAGTGTGAAAATCTGGGATCTTAGAACAGGAAAAGCCTCACAGACATTACGTAGTCACACTAAATCGGTTAACTGTGCTAAATTCTCTCCTGATAGTAACTGGGTGTCTTCTGGAGGAGATGATGGAAATACATACATCACAGATTTGAGAACTGAGAAAGTGGTCTACTGATTCGAAGAGCCTCATCAAAAAGTGACAAGTGTTCTCTTCAATCCCAAGACTTATACCATGACAACAGGGTGAGCTGGGAGATGAATTAATTATTATGATTTGGAAAGCTTCCAGATCATTAACACAATGACCTTCAACACCTCCCCGATAAAATCAATCGAATTTTACAACAAAGATGAGTTTGAAATGGTTGAATGGGGATTCTTTGGATCAGATGACTATATAAGAATGGTGAACTGAGAAAGAAATATCCAAAGTAATATCTACTCTGTCCCTCACGATACCCTTTGAGATTTGAAAGTAGACTACAAAAATGAACTTCTCACCTGCCTTTGCACCTATCAAAGCGATATGGTTTTCTGGGGAGTTAACCTTCCAAGAATCCCTGACGAAGAGGTTGATATGGAAGTTGATCAAGTACCGTCAAAGCACGGCTATTCGCCTGACAAGAACATGGAGGGAAGATCTCCAGCCTCAATGACTCCATTTGAAGAATTAAAGATGAGTGATGATTTCATGAGAAAGGCAGTTGTAGAACAAAATGAAGGCGAAAGGTCTTCTAAATCAAGACATGTAGTGCCTCAGCCAAAGGGAGATAGTTTTGATAAATCATCAATTTCCCAAGCAAGTGGGTTAGACAGAACTACTTTCAAGCCTAATACCGACTCTTCCCCTGCAGATTTAGACTTTGATGAATTCATTTCTAAACCTTCCTCTGAAGATATTGAGTTTATTGAGAAGATTCAAGACAAACATTTCCATTTCGTGGACACTTTGAAGCAAAGAAATCAGAAATTACAAAATATCTTATCTCTATACAACCCATATAAGAGCGTAAATATGACGCTGAATGCTCTAGGACAAATGAACGATATTGGAGTCTCAAATGATGTTTGAGCTGCTCTTTTCACCGAAGGAAAGTTTGTAGAAGCTCTATCTATAAAACAGTGCGTGAATGCTTTACCTCATTGCGAGAATCTATTCAACGGAAAACATGAAAACCACGTTGTCACAGGAGCTCAGAGCATCCACAGAATCCTGAAGCATATTGGACAAGAGATTATTACCATCAGAAATACTCCAATTGGAAGAGGAGTTGACCTTGAAAGAGAAGAAAGAGTCCAGCAATGTGATGAACTACTAAACATGTTCTTAGCCATATTTAAAGGATCAACAATCAAAAAGAGAAGCAAGTATAAAGGAAATATCGGAAGGGTTTCCAAATCTCTCTATGAAGAGCTCTATAAATTCCTTGCTCTTTCTGATAAGAACGGTGGAAGAGGCAGAGAACCAGAATTAGCATAAGTAGGATACTTACCGGTCAAATTAATCTTCATATTTCAGCTAAAATTATCTATGAAGGGGTTTTGGGGTTTTGGGGTTTTGGGGTTTTGGGG